CCCACTGAGCTCCAGGCACAGTAGTCCTCGGCCGCAGGGAAGTCCCCCAGCTCGAGCGCCAGGGTGCGCAGGGCCTGCTCGTGCTCCTCCAGCTTCCCGTGCAGGATGGCCCTCTCCATGGGCAGGCCGGCGTCCCGCACTCTCTCTGTGGGCAGAACCACGGGTCAGAACAGCGTGAGGCCAAGCTGGCGCCTGGCCGCTCCTACGCCCAGCCCCAGACCATGTGGAGCGGCGTCCGTGTCCACGCTTTGCATCTGGTGTCACAACGCCAAAGACACGTGCTACCTCTCTCTAAGGACAGGCAGGTCACAGAATACAGCTTTGCTCAGAGTTTAGAGAATGAACGAAACACATGACCCTGGTCTCAGAAGGCCCGGGAGACCTGCGTGCCAGCCTGGGGCCTCCAACCAGCCCACAGGACCCCGTCCAGTGAGGGCCTCTTGACTAACGCAGAAAAGCATCACAGATAACGTCACCTCTCACCATACAGTTGGCCAAACCCCTTTATTCTAATTTGAACTCTAGTCCATGCAAAGGCATATGGGTTCACATTGCTAAAATCCATGTCTACATCAGCCTAAAGCAGTGGTCGGCAAACTGCGGCTCGCGGGCCACATGTGGCTCTTTGGCCCCTTGGGTGTGGCTCTTCCACAAAATACCGACTTCTGCTCATGGGCCACAAAGTTTTAATCGCACTGTATGTGCGCGCCCACATGTGGTATTTTGTGGAAGAGCCACACTCAAGGGGCCAAAGAGCTGCATGTGGCTCGCGAGCCGCGGTTTGCCAACCACGGGCCTAAAGCAAGCATGTCAAACTTGTAGCCCACGGGCCGCATGTGGCCTAGCCAATATAACGGTATGTAAGAAAAGTTTTAATAAAAAACTCGTAACTTAATTTTTACAATATCCTGTTACACATAATTATTAATAACAAACTACAACGTTCGCTAATGACTGATGACTATAATCGTGTTGCATTCATTTCCCTTAAGCACTTTATGCACAGGCGCATCATTTCTCTCCACTAATACTAGCAGTGAATATTTTAGCAGCTGATGGCCACATCATTAGTCTTGTACTGACTTGTTTGGTGTGCTCAATAGGAAATATTTCGCTTTCGGAGAACAAGAAAAATAGGTTTATTTGCGTTACGCTTATTAATTCGTGCAGTTATTCAGTTTGGTAAGTTAATGTGCAAGAAAAAATATTAATTTTTATTAAAATGTTCTATTATTTTGTTAATGATGACTCGTTTATTTCAGCCCTTTGTATTCAGCATGTCTCTATCGAAATAAACCTATGTTTCTATGAAAATTGAAGCTTTTGTTTTTTGCGGCCCACATACACTTAAGCCTTGTTTATTTGGCCCGTGTTAGCCTTTGAGTTTGACATGCTCGGCCTAAAGATTTTTCCTGTTTGTCTCACAATGTAAATGTCCAGGTGATAAGTAAACGGCACCAGCAGAGGAGCACAGGGGCCAGCTGCCCTTGGTGGGCTGCGTCTCCTCAGTGACGTCCCTTTGCTGCCCACTCCCCTGCCAGCCAGGACGATAACGTAAGGTCTCTCCCACTGGGCAGGGGTGTTCCGAGGACCACCTCTCCAGGGACCAAGGATTATTCCAATTACAGGCCTTTTGCATTTGAAGTTTGGCCACACCCAGGCCTGATGCACAAGGCAGACACCACCAGTCCTGTAGCAAAGGGCTGGCTCATCCACAGGCCACCGACGGCACCAGACACAGGCTGCACAGGCACCAGCTGTCCTCACAGACCCTGAACACATCACTCCTAAGTGGACGCCACCCGTAAGGGACAGGAGAGGCACAAAGACGGTGACGAAAAGGTCTGGCAGCGACCTACACCTTCACATCTGCCGTCTCATTCATGCTTGACTCTCGCCCCCATGGGTGGGCTTGGCAGGAACTACTATGCCACATGCCCCAGTGACACCCCGAGTCACCTGACTCCCAGGGGGCAGCGGTCGTCTGAGTTGCAGTGCTGTTCCAGTCTTGGGGACACCCACTTCCTGCAAGCTCCCAGGCTTACTTTCTGACTGCCAGAACAGGGCCGCCTCGGGGCGGCTCCCCGGCCCATCCACCCGAGGCCTGGCCTGCTACTCCCTGGGCCCCACGCGGAGCTTCCACGGCCTCACCTGACCCTCGGTTACGAGGACAGGATTCCAGCCACACCACTCTCCACCCTCTGTGCATGTCTGACACTACGCATGCTCCACAAAGGTGGCGGGATAAGAACAGCCATCGACAAACTGAGTAGCATGAAGTTGTTATGAAGGGATCTGTACAGCATAAAGTAGGACGTAAGTCAGGGGCAGTGAAAATGCTGAACAAGCATGACCGCACGGGCACTGACCCATCATAACGGGCGGTGGCTGTGGGCGACCGTCTGAACGTCAAGTGCGGGCTGGGGCCAGTGTTGGCCTCTGCACCTGCTCAGAACGCCTGCTGTGGGGCTGGCGAGCTGGGCCCGCTGGGCACCTGCTCTGAGCTCCTCATTCCTCTGCTACAAAGGTCAGCAAATAAGCATCACACTGCATGCTGAGCGTTGTGACCTATGCCTGGGATACACATAGTCAGTCCCCAGTGTTTGCAGATTCTGTATGTGCCTCCTCGCCAGCATCTCTCTGTAACTCCAAAAGCAATACTTGTGGTGCTTCTGAGGCACCTGTGGCCTCACCCGCGTGGCCAAACGGGTGAGCCAGCGACCGGTGAAGCAAAGCGACGCTCGGCTCTCACTGGGCACACGTGTGCTTATCACGGTCCTCAGGTCCCGGGGCAGCACTGCTGTGCTTCTGTAGGTGGTTCAGCATTTACAACGGCCCAAGCTCAGGGCTGGACGCGGCTACGCTGGCAGCACAGGAGGGCTGGTGCCTCCCAGGAGCGGTGTGTCCGCTGAGCCTCGGGGGGGCTGACTCGGCGCTGCTGCTGTGAGACAGTGTTCACGAATCAGCTGATACTACATGAGAGTCTTTACACAGAGGCATCAAACACGCTCTGCACGGACCGGCCGAGGGAGAGCTAGGGATCAGAGTGCGCAGGGACCTGGCCCGGTCTCCCGAGCACAGCAGGGTCCTCACTAGTTGTCTGTGGAGACTACAGCCCCCCTCCAGCGGGGCTGGCTTTGTGCCTGAAAGGCTCCAGGGATCGCCCACGAAACCACAGGAGCGATGCCGAAGCCTTGCCCTGCTCCCGCCACCCGCAGGGTTACCATGGAGCGACCACGAGCTCGCCTCACCCATCAGGAAGTGCACTCGGTACAAGTCGGACTTCTGCAGCAGGCGTCGCAACTTCGCCTGGGTCTCCGTCACCTCGGCCCCCGAGCCGCTGGCGCCGGGCGTCCGCTGCAGCACCGCGTCCAGGTAGAGGAGGGCCAAGCGCGTGTGGTACTCTTCCCTCTGCAGGAAACGGGCCAAGAAAATGCGTTCATGAGGGGGAGACTGGGTGCCCGGCCCGCAGTGCCGAGGGGACCTGGCGGATTCGCAAGGACAATGCACAACACGCTGGCTGGTCAAAACCCTCTCAGAAACACAACGCAGAGAAGGCGGATTTAAAATCCACGGGGCCCTAGCTGGTTTGGCTCGGTGGGTAGAGCCTCGGCCTGCAGACTGAAACGTCCCAGGTTCGGTTCCAGTCAGGGGCACATGCCCGGGTTGCGGACTCAATCCCCAGTGGGTGATGTGCAGGAGGCAGCCGATCAGTGATTCTCTCTCATCATTGATATTTCTATCTCTCTCTCCCTGTTCCTTCCTCTCTGAAATCAATAAAAATAAATAAATAAAAAACTTACAGGGAAACTATAAAAGGGCTACTTCTCATTTTGAGAAGGGCCACAGGATTCTCCAAAGAGGTACAGCTTCTCTCATTTCCTTTAAGAAAATCAACAAGGAAGGAGTAGAGAAGGAAAGTACGAGCAAGATGGACATGAGATGAGGGTAAGAAGCTACTTACTCCTCCCGCCTCTTTCACAACCGCCAGCTCCTGCAGACCACCAGCAGCACAGCTGGGCAGCCAGGGCACAGAAAACGCTACACGAGGACCACCTGCCACCAAGTCTTAGTGTGGAATCCCGTCGCTTAGAGCGGGATGCTGCCACCGGCACACCTGATCCACTTCGCGGGGCTCACCTGCAGGTTCCTGTCCATAACCAGGTGTTCCAGGTACCGCACAAGGGCGTTGGGGTATTTCTTAAGGCGAGTGAGCACATCGTCTGGATTGAAACCGTCCTGCTGCTCCTCCGAAGGCCTCTTGGTGAAAACCTGAACTCCAACCTGCGGGGAGAGCGCGCTGAGTGCCTGCTGTGCACAGGCCCCTCTCACCGTGTCCCGAGCACCGCGGTCCGCGCTCTGGGCGAAGCCGCAGGCTCTGGGAGCAGTGCACAGGAAGCTCGCAGACGGAGCAGAGGCTGCTGGCCCGGCCCTCCTCACAGCCTGGCCATTCCCTTCAAAGGGCCAGAAGTTAAAGAACGAAACATTTATTGGAAACAACCCATAAAGCAAAACTTTGTAATATTAAGATCATCCCAAACCAGGACGGTCACTGGCTGACTAGGAAGTGAAGGATCTGAAGTTCTGCCCACCCAGCGGCCCATTCTCCTGACGCTGACACCGCTTGGTGGAGCACCCAGTGTCCAGGCTGCCTCCAGCCTGTCTCCCGGGGCCCACGGTGCAATTCTGTGCTCTGAGGACGTGCTGATGGCACGCAGGGAAGCAAACCCAGACTGCACCTGCCCCGGGCACTGTGTGCACTCTTACGCACACGCTCGCACGCCACAAAGCCCATCAGCGGAACAGCACAGCTCGGCTCTGCCAACTGCAGCGCCTCGGGGACGTTCAGAGCTCTCGGAGCCCGAGCTCCCATCCTGAGGCGCCCACTGGGTCCGTCTCCTTGTTTAAAAGGTGACACATGTGAGGGACCGGTGCAGGGTCGGGGAGCACCCAGAGCCCAAGCGCCGTGACCAGCTCTTAGCAGCGGGAGAGTCCCCACTGCAGCGGCACTAGGCTGTCAGCAGGCGTGAGCAGGTCGGCGCGTGGTGGTGCGTGTGCCAGCGCAGAGTACAGAGGGTGGGAAACGTACACGGAGCACACGGCCAACTCCAGTTACGACAGCACCAGGGAGGACACGGGCGACCCACATTTCAGAAGGGCACCTGTGGCCAAGGCCCTGCCTGCATCAGAAAGCTACCGCTGTGTCTCCAGAGGGAGCGAGGCCGCGCAGGCGTTCTCAGCGGCGAGAACTGAATGCTTCCCCAGGCATCTTGGGCCTGTCCTCGGGATTCTGGCCCTGCCCCGAGCACGCTGTCCCCTCTGGGGCCCCAGTGCTCTCTCACTGACCACTGACATCCTTGCTCAGCCTCCGAGATGGGCCAGTCCTGCTCACGGCTGCCCTCCTTCCTCCAGACCCACGACCCCGCATCACAGGGTGGGAGCGGAGACAGGGCAGCGGTTCGCCTGGCGTGGCCCAGGCCGGGCACCCAGCCTGCAGAGCAGCCTTCGGATCCTGCTCCTGTCCACGGACCACACGGCTGCCAGCCTCAGGTGAGGTTTTGCAGAAGATGCTAAGAATGGGGCTGGCTATGCTGCCGTGTCTCTAATGTGGCCCGCCCCAGACAGGGTGCTGAACGGCGCGTCTCCAAAAGCACTGAAACGCTGGGACGCCAGGTGCGCAGGGGCTTGTAAAGGGGAGCAAAGGACGTGGACACAGCTCAAAGCGAAGCTTGCTTACCCACCCAAATCAAGGCTTTGTCTGTTTTTACCACCCCAGCCCCACCCCCCCGAATGCATTTACGAAGCACAAACCTCCTCACTTTTCTGCAAGGCCCAGTCGGCGTGCTTCCACACCAGCGCGTGGTCCGGGCTGTGGGTGAGGAAGTCCACCACGTAGTCGTACAGGTCTGCGCGCGTGGGGTCGTCAATTTCCCCGTTCACGATGTTCACCCACAACTGGCAGGAGCAACGAGAAGAAACAAAAGCTTACGTACCTGCTAGAAGCGGCTGAGAAAGGGCACACACTTACTTATTTGGCCTTTTAATACTTAAAAGCAGTCGGACAAATTTTAAGTGCTTAAGTCAAATTTAACTTTTTCTCAGAGAAATAAAGAAATGTAGAAGACATGGCTCAGAAAATCAAGAAAACCTGTCCTATTCCCCCCTCTTTAGTGACGTCAGTGACACAGGTCACACACGCCCTGTATGACCTTTTTTTTTTTTTTTTAATTTCCAAGGTACTTTATTGTTAAAACAGGTCACAACACTAAGCCTCGGGCTGGTTCTGCCAACACACAAGCTACAAATGCTTGCCTGGCAGCTGAGGGGCGCTCTGCGGTAGCATGTTTGAGAATTGAATAAAAATCCATATAAAACAAATATTCAAATAGTTTCCATAGGAACACGTAAGTGTGACCCCGTCGCCTAGGCCTTCCACCTTGTTCCATCTGTGCCACCCCCACTTACAAAGACATTCCAAACTAGCAATCATTAAGTTAAGTGGTCCCCCCAAATCCCTTAAGTCAAGCTACACTCGCGTAACAGCTACAGGAATGGCGTCTACACGTTCTCCCTGTGTGGGAGAGGTGGGTGTGTCCAGCAAGTTTCTGCACAAAAGCAATGCGGTCACTGACAGCTCAGCACCGAAGTCACCCAGGACTGCTGGCCAGGCTGTCTCCACTTCTCCATTCCAGGAATTCCTCACCTAAAGTCTTTTTCCTACTGTGATAGACACTGTCCTTTCAAACGCTCTGATTCTGTCCCCAAGTGTCCAACAGCCTTTGCACAAGGCCCCAGGATAGATTGTAATGAGAGGCCTCTGCCATTTCTTGCAGAACTTCCTGCCGTGAAGTGAAGCTTGCCTTCGAGCCCAGCAGGGGCAGCGTCAGGGCAGAGGGGCCGCTGCCCGAGGTGCCTCCGCGCCCTCCTCCGCGCTGCACTTCGGGCCACGCCACCAGCCAGAAGCCCCAGAAACGGGCAGGCAGCAGCGGCTGAGTCCAATGATCTGCACGCCAACATATTTTATGGCACTAGTTTCTTCAACACTGAGTTCCCTAAAACAAATAATCTGATCACACACACACTAAAATGTGTCACTTTAAAAACATAGTGGTTGTCTGTCATAAAGTGAGATTTTTTCATATTATTTCAATTTTGTAAATCTCTATATATACCTCTGCTAATATTATTACATGTATATCAAGCTATAATTCTTTTTTTTAAATATATTTTATTGATTTTTTACAGAAAGGAAGGGAGAGGGATAGAGTGTTAGAAACATCGATGAGGGAGAAACATCGATCAGCTGCCTCTTGCACACACCCTACTGGGGATGTGTCCACAACCACGGTACATGCCCCTGACCATAATCGAACCTGGGACCCTTCAGTCCGCAGGCCGACGCTCTATCCACTGAGCCAAACCGATTAGGGCAAGCTATGATTCTTATGTAATTATGTGATGTAAAAAATAAAAATTTATCTTTGACACTCAAATCTACTCTCAGCCGTGGGGTGCCTGCTGGCGGGAACCATTTTTCTCTCTCAGCCTGTTCTGCAATGATGTTGCCACAATAGTTTAAGCAAATGTGAGTGTGCCTCTGCCAAAGTCAGGAAGCTGCCTCAGCTTGCTGAGTGGTGCTGGTGGTCGTGGCTGCTCACAAAGCACAGAAAAGAAGGCCCACGGGGAAACTGTGGCACAAAGCAACCCATGGGACTGAGACCGGTGCAGCCTCTGTGGAAGACAGTATGGAGGGCCCTCAAAAAACTAAAAATGGAACTCCCATTTGATCCATGATCCCACTTCTAGGCATATATCCCAAGAAACCAGAAACACCAATCAGAACAGGTGCACCCCTCTGTTCATAGCAGCACAATTCACCATAGCTAAGATTTAAAAACAGCCTAAATGCCCATCAGCAGACAAATGGATTAGAAAACTGTGGTACATCTACACAATGGAATACTATGCTACTGTAAAAAGGAAGGAACTCCTACCATTTCTAATAGCATGGATGGAACTGGAGAGCATTATGCTAAGTGAAATAAGCCAGTCAGAGAAAGATATGTATCACATGATCTCACTCATTTGTGGAATATAATAACATAAACTGATGAACAAAAACAGATCCAGAGACATAGAAGCATTAAACAGCCATCAAACCTTAGAGCAGCGGTTCTCAACCTGTGGGTCGCGCCCCCTTTGGCGGTCGAACGACCCTTTCACAGGGGTCGCCTAAGACCATCCTGCATATCAGATATTTACATTACGATTCATAACAGTAGCAACATTACAGTTATGAAGTAGCAACGAAAATAATAATTTTATGGTTGGGTCACAACATGAGGAACTGTATTTAAAGGGCCAGAAGGTTGAGAACCACTGCCTTAGAGGGAAGGCGGGGGGCAGAGGGTAAGAGACCAACCAAAAAACTTGCATGCATATTAGCATAACCAATGGACACAGATAATAGGGGGGTGAAGGCCTGGGCTGGGGGGACAGGGACAGGCTGGGAGAGGTCAATGGGGGAAAAAGGGGACATATGTAATACTTTCAACACTAAAAATTTTTTAAAAAGTATATGGATTGTCTAACCACTATGCTGTACACCTAAAACTAATACAAAACAATATTAAATGTAAACTATAATTGAAAAAAAAAAGACTTTCCTTTCAATAAAAACCACAGCAATCCCAGTGGATGGCAACTACCACAGGGGAACGGTCTCCCAAGAGCGTGAGAGCGGTCAGTCAGATGCTGCCGGATGCAAGACTAACACTTGGTCACTTGATTCAGGCTCCGCATCCGGCCAGTTCTGGTTCCACCCCAGCTCTACCGCTGGTCCGTGGTTTGAACCTGCCTTGACCATCTTCAGTTTTGTGTGTTTTTAAATATTTTTGCAATTTCAGAGAGAAGGAAGAGGAACAGAGAAATAGAAACATCAACGATGAGAGAGAATCATTGTTCAGCTGCCTCCTGCACACCCCACACTGGGGATGGAGCCGGCAACCCGAGCATGTACCCCAACTGGGAAGCCAAACATGACCGCCCAGTCCATAGGTCGACGCCCTACCACTGGCCGGCAGGCAACCAGCTTTAGTTTTGTCACAGATGACACAGGGATAATAATTTACCCAGCTCTCTGGCAATCGTTACTGTCATTAACAGTTATTAATATCATAAATTCGCTAACATTAGCAGGGAATTATAAAACAAACTTATTCCCAGTGTTAATTTTCTAATAAGGCAGTGAAGGCAAATGTCTGAAGCCTCAATAAGAAAGCATATTTTTATTTCTTAATATTTCAAAAAACTCAGCCTTCATAATGTTCTTATGAAGAGATGTAAAGACAAAGGAAAAATTCTTGGCCCACATTCTCAAGACATTCACTTTCTAAAAACAGTAGTCATCTTGTTGTTTAAAAAAGCTTATAGATCAGGGGAAAGTGGTCTCTCTCAACTTGTGATGACTTTTAAGCAACACTAAGGCACACGGACTGGTTTCCCAATAATGCCAACGTGCTTTTGAACTAACCTGAACTGCAGCCGCGTCCTGGTTATTATGGTGGTAGAGCAGTCCCAGTGCAAAATACCTGCAGGAAAACAACGTGGTGAGTGCCCCTCCCACCTTCTGTGGGGCACCCGCACAGTGACACCCCACCCTGCCTTCTCCCCCCTCAGAGTTCAGCAACAACAAGGTCCTCGTTTCTGCTTATTTACTTATGGTGTTAAATGCACACCCAGCACCCTGGCTGGTGGCAGATAGTTGGTGTGTCCTCCCGGGCACCAAAAGGCGGCAGGTTCGACTCCTGGTTGGAGCACATCCCCAGGCTGTGGGTTCCATCCCTGGTTGGGGCATGTACAGGAGGCAACCAATCAATGTTTCTCTCTGACATCAATCTTTCTGTCTCTCTCTCTCTAAGCATATTATCAGGTGAGGATTCAAATGAAAAAATTTATGCCCTATCAATTTCCAAAAAAAACACATTCAAGTCTAAGATAAGCTGACCAATAAAACAATGACTTTACTATGAAAAATCACGTTTGAAATTTCTTTACAATTTGCTTCAAATATTACTATAATTTCATATATCTTCAGTTAGCCACTTTAACCTAATACTAAAGAACTATTTGGAAGGTTTGCTACCTGAACTATTATTGCAAGAAGGAGTAAGGAGTTGAACATGAACAGCAGTAAAGACCAACAGGATCCAGGCATCACAGAGAATGGAACATCAGGGAAAGTCCTGGGGGAGGCCACCAGAGTTCAAGGACATGAGTTTCTATTCAGGCTGCATTACTTATGACTGTGTGACCTTGAGCAAGTAGAAAGGATTAGCAATGACATTGGCATTGCCTGGGCAGTGAGCCACAGCCACCCTTCCAAGTTCTGCAAGTGTGTCTTGCTCCTGGTCCCCTCCTCCCCAGTAGGGGACTGGAGCAAGGGACCCAGGAGGTGTCAGATTTCTTCCCACACAGAGCAAACTCCCAGGATATGGCTGACTCTCCGGACCCTGTCATCCCATCACTACCGCGAGGTGTCAGCGTATTTTCTGGTCCTAAACAAGATGACTCCACTCCACACGTGTTCAGGAATCGGAGGGACAGCTGGAGGAGCAGTGCCACGTGGAGACCAGCCACCAGACTCTTGTCTTGGCCTCTGAACAGGGTCAAGCACTGGACCCACTCAGTCCCCGTGAGATTTCACCAGGGTGGTTGTCATTTCAAATACATAACAAAAACCACAGACTAAGAACCTTATTGCCAAGTGGAGCGTGGGGGTCACCCAACACTTTTAAAGAAAAAACTCGTGAGGCCCAGAAGATTCGACCACGTGACATCGCAGGAGGAGGAAGCTGCCACCTGCACCCAATCCATGTCCTCGGATTAACTGCCCTCGTGAGAGGGGCGAGGGGGTGGCCGCCTACTAACGCGTGCCCGTAACGAAGACAGTTTTAAGCCATAACCTCTTACCCACGAGACCAAGAAGCCCCCTCTTATCTATTTATCCAGATGTCTGTCTATCTATTCAAACTGGGCACCAGTGGGTAACGTGCGCTATTAACTGTGCCAACAAACACTGGTGTCTTCTGCAGGCGAATCCTACCTGGAACAGGAGCAACCTGAGGACCATTTCACTTACGACAGGCTGGTTAGCTCCACATGGAAGATGCCACCGGAGGGCGCTGGCTGTCACTGGGACTTCAGGGCAGCCCCTTGAGGGCCTCGGCAACTCAAACCCACTGGCTTCATCGGCTTCACCATGGGAGGGAAGGCCAAGCAGGAAGCCGGGCACGTGGAGCACACTCACCGCTTGTGCTTCTCCAGCCAGGCAGCGCTGTCGGCCAGCAGGCAGGCGTTCTCGGTGACCAGGAGGTCCAGCAGGCTGGCGTGGCCGGCCTCGGCGTACAGCTTGAGCAGGGCCGTGTCCACGTCCTCCTTGTAGCCGTGGACCACCTCTGAGCTGCGCACTTCTTCCAGGTAGGTCATGAGGAAGCGCTTGCACTTGGCCGCCTTCTCCTGGTCGCCCTGGGTCAGCTGGTTCAGGTCTGCGTACTCGTGGAGAGGAGGGTGAGACCGCGTGAATGAAGAGGAGGTGGGCAACAGGAAGGGGCACAGAGAGATCAGCTCCCGGACGTCAAGCTGGCCGCTTCTGCAATTACAGTGTCAAACTAAATGAAGCAAAAAGAGAGAGAGAGTGCACGTAGGCACACAAACAGCACTGGAGGGCGGGCACGCTGCGCACGGAGCAGGAGAGCGGCGCACCACCGCAGAGACGGCCTTCACCCGCACGTGAGGCACAGCATCCCCGGGCCGAGTGCCACCACCTGATCTCACACAGGGGGGGGGACCAGAGAGAGGACGCACAACACGTGCTGCAGTGAAACTCCGACACAGCCGCACACCACGGGCTGTGGCTCCCCGGGGCCCCAGGGCAAAGAAAGAGACACAAAGGCAACACCCATCAGCATGGGGTCGTCCTGCACTGCTTCCTCCCCGGCTGCTGGACGTCCTACAGGCTCTGCGGGACCCCAGCTTCCAGCTTCCTCAGCAGGCACCTGGGACCCGGGACACGGGCACCGCGGCCCTTTCCAGGGACTCCTGAGGACTCAAGCGGCCAGCAGTCCTCACCTCGCAAGGCCCAGGAGGCCCTCCAGGAATGCCCATCGCTACCGCATCGCCGCTCCCTCTCCCCTCGCCTCCCTCCGCCCCAGTTCTGCCCACAGTGCTAACAGCAGCAATGCCAGCAAAGCCTCAGGCCGGGCCCAGGGGCAGAGCCGCCTGTGGGACATACCCGCCGTGCCCGGCGCGTGTGGTGAGAGGGTGGGAGGGTGCGAGGTGCGGGCGCCGGCCATGTGAGGCAGCACCAAACTTCTAACAGCAAATGGAGAAGGAATATGAGGACCAGCCCCAGATGAGTGAGGAAAAAATCACGAGTATTATTAGCACGGTCTGCCGAGGGCACAGGAAGGGAAGGCAGAATCATGCCTGTCCCAGGAGGGTCCCCCTCAAACCTGCGCTTCCCCGGCCTCACTGACAAAAGCGAGCAGCAGTCGATGTAACGGTAAGTGATACAGAGGCTGACGTGGAAAGCACAGGAGCCCGGGTTGACCATGGACAGGCCCCACATTTATTCTGACAAAATCGGCAAACTTTTTTAGGAGCGCACCATGACCGTTCACCTGTATTTTAAATTAACCCGTGACGTGACGGAAGACCCCAGTGAGGAGGCTGCCAATTCCATGGGGACAAGACAGGCGTGAGTGAGAGTGTCAGCCCACAGGGACCAGGACTCCTCCCCGACCCCAAAGCTAGTGATCATCCAGGCGCAGATGACAACAGCGGAGAACTTCTGCAGGCAAAAGGTTAGCGGGCACCAGGCTCACATGGGAACCCCTTCTTTAGCCAGAGTCTGTTCTCTGCAACTAATCCGGGACCAGGGACACGATCAGAGCCCCAGTGCGTGGCGCTGGGCGCTGGCGGCAGGGGCAGCTCCTCCTGAGCGCAGGCCCTGGAGGCCGCACAGACCAGCACAGCCCATGGCGGCTCCCACCACAGGCTCTGCTCCAGCCCCGCATTCTGAAAGCTGCTCATAGGCAATGTGTTAGTGGGTACTCAGACGACGGTACAGGTTTCACCTAATCTTCTGCAAAGCATGCTGGGCACACAGTGTGAGAGGGCAGGGCAGCTGGGAGAACGGGTGAGACGGGAGCAGGCGAGGGGTGAGGGCAGATGGCCCTGGTACAGACAGGGTTACTCATGGTGCCGGGAACCTCCCGGGAGAAACACAACTTCCTGAGCGAGCTAACTATGACGGGCCATTTATAGTCTTTAGGGAATCGTTTTCATAAGTCCTCCCAGAACTGCCTGCTCTTGTTCTAAACTCATAGCTTCCTGTGAAACCTCTGGAGAAAAGGAAAAGTGAACAATAGTATTTTCCTAAAAACCCTCCACGTTATCAAATCCACTCTTTAAACTCCCCTCTCCTGTCCTGTACGCCCGCATCAGCCCCACCCTCTAAGATACAGGACAGCTAAACTAAGACTGAGGGTGCAGGGGATGGGTACCATCTAACCAGGGCAGCACCTCCCACCGCAGCATCGAGGTGGAATGGAGCCCTGAGCACAGAGGGACCCTCGGAAGTCCTGCTCAGCACCTCGAATTACCTGAAGAGCTCTTTAGCTTCCAGGAACTGCAGTTGTGCAAAGTGTATGAAGCCCGCCTGCTGCAGGATCCTTCTGTACATTCCCTGAAAGAAAGACAGCTATCAGATCCACGCTTAGAAGCTTCGACAGAAATACCATCCACAGCACACGACACAAATCAAGGAAACGTTGGGCACACACCTTTGTCTCCTCGATGCCTCTTTCTTAAAGCGCCACATTCTCTGTCTCTTTGGATCTCTAGAAGAAATACTCCTTTACTCCCAGCCCCTCAGTCAAACTTCTGATAATCCCTCCCTAGCGCTCAGTGGAGCAAGATCAGTTCCTGCTTTAAATGAAGAGAAGGGGGTGAACGGTGAGATGCCAGTCTCCTGACCGCCTGGCTCCTTCCTCTCCCTTTCCGGTTTCTCTAAGCCTGGGCTAGCATTTGGTCGCACGCATCCTAACGTTAAAGTAAGGAATGTACCTGATGATAAGGGTCACATCTAACCCTAAAAACACAGCCCCTTCAGGAGAGTTACCCCTAAACAACCACCTCTGCTCCACACCCATCCCATCAGGGTTGTTGGGAGCCCGGTCCACAGCTGTGACTCACGCGGACCCATTCCTTTGTAGCTCAGCCCAGAAATGAGCAGAGGTGGGAAACCGAGAAATAAGAGTCTACCCAGGAGCCGGGAAGGCTCGAGAACAGGCATATTTCAACAAGGTATCGAAACAGTAATTTACAGCATATGGAAGTCGCTCCAGTAGAGCAAGGGGGGAAGAGGTGTGCGAGTGCGCGGCAGGTGCACGGCAGGTCCGCACGGGGAGACAGACCCCAGCGCTCTGCTCTCACCAGCTGCCGTGCCTTCCTGTCTCTGCAGACTGTACTGGTTATGTTTTACCTTCTCTGAGGATTGAAATGTTTAAAATGCCTCTCAGAGGGCTTTCACACTGTAGGGCTCAACTGCTGTTCCCCAGGTCCTCTACCCTGTGAGGTGAACTGTGGTTCAGGCACGTTTCACAGGGTGACAGAGGGGGCAGGAGAGGAGGGAAGCAGGCGGGGCCGATCTGAAGCACCTGCAGGGTGTGGACTTTACTGTAGGCAGGAGGCCCCCACTGATGCATTTTATGCCAGGATGTGGTCTGCAGTTTAGAAAGATCACCCCAGGGTGGCATGGAGGATGGAGCAGGCACCCCGAGGAGGCTGCTGACACCAACCAACTGCAACGACGGGCACGGAGAAAGGGCTGAACCCGAGGTCCTTCTGAGGGTCCCAGGGCTGTGTGTGTTTGCAGCAACAGGGAGAAGGCAGACAGCATGTTAGAGAGGGGACACGCCGACTGAGATATCGGACCAGAGAGCAAGGCGGCTAGTAATGTTCTTAATACTCACTGCATATGTCTACTCGTGGCAAGAAGAGAGGAGAAAAGGCAAAAGCAGACAAAGAACCAGGAGAGCCTCTTTAAGAAAATGTTACAAACTTAAAGTGTGCACATGAGTGTGCGCGTGTGCGTGTGCATGCGCGTGTGTGTGCGCGCGCGCGCGCGCGTGTGTGTGTGTGTGTGTGCGCGCGCGTGCGCACGCACACAAGGAAGGGCACCCCAGGACCGGCCTGTCCAGCCATCCAACTCGTCTGCAGGCGGCAGCTCAGGGGTCCCTGATACACAGGCGAGAGGAGTGAGGGGCCCAGCAGGGTCTCAGGTCTGGCTACCGGCTCCTCGGCTACTCCAGGCCACTGGCTGGCGGTGTAAGGAAAGCACTGCAGGCGCTCAGCACAGCAGGCCCTGAGCAGGCACTTTCTTCCTTTTGCTTTTGCTGCCCCCTGCTGAGAGCTAATAGGTAGGTCTTACTTTAAAAAATTAGGAGGATGAGAGTTCATCACTATTTAAATAGAGAAAAGATGCCTTCTTTCATACCCCATAACCACTAAGTACACTTCCTGCCTCTCGCTGTCAGAACCTACCTTTTTCAGCATAAAGCATCCTCTCATTCCACAGCAGTCACAGCCATGGACTGTGAAGGGTTACTCTACGTCCATGAGCCCTTTCAATGATGACTTAGACATTCACATGAATGTACACTCACCCACATCACATTTCTTTTTCTCCCGGCTCTAGAGCGTAACCTGAACTAACCTGACAGCCGATCAAGCAGCAATTGTTAGGGAATGTGACTTCATTAGAAATAAGAATAACTTGTGATTATTATATCCATTACATTTATTCATACCAACTCTACGAAAGCTCGTGTTTCTTAAGTGCATTGAGTTTTCTCCTAAGGAAATTAACTAGGTGGATTCCTGCAGTATTAGACAGTTATCCGTATGGTTAACCTGTAGAAAATAGAAACCTAAACTTTTACAATTCAGTCCATCCCAACAAATACAAATTCTAAAGGAGGAAACAAAGTAACCTGCTGCTACTCTTGATTTTCAGAATTATGCCCTGATTCTTCTTTGAAGGCCACTGAGGAAGGAAGTTGATCAGAAACACAGCTCTGTGTACCAAGCACAGAAGCCGGAGGCTCCCAGCCTGACCTGGCTGTCGGCCGTGTCCTGCGGCTGCTGCCCGGGCCGCGGCTCTGCACCCGTTTCCTACCTGCACAGTGGGATGTGCCGAGAGAACTCCGCCTGAGCGGTTTGGCACACAGGAACGGCTCCTGTGTGGGGCTAACCAGCCGTGGGCAAACTACGGCCCGCGGGCTGGATCCGGCCCGTTTGAAATGAATAAAACTAAAAAAAAAAAAGACCGTACCCTTTTATGTAATGATGTTTACTTTGAATTTATATTAGTTCACACAAACAGTCCATCCATGCTTTTGTTCCAGCCCTCCGGTCCAGTTTAAGAACCCATTGTGGCCCTCGAGTCAAAAAGTTTGCCCACCCCTGGGCTAACCCTGAATGCTTTCTGCTTACTGCCCCGGAGGCATGCTTCCTCCATCAGTAGCTACAGACCTGAAATTTTTCCTTTGGAATATTCCTCCGGGCTCCTTTTGCTAAAACCAACGCCTCCTCCACTCTGTGGCTTGCTAGAAGATCCTGTATTTGTTTTTCCAGAGGTAAGGGAACCAAGATGTAAACTCCTTTACTTGTGGCGACAATCACTCTTCCTGGGAAGAAAGTCAACCAATTGGAAAGGGGAAGACATACTGCCGGCAAGAAAACACGCTGCTCCCCACACTGACCCTGCTCTGACTTGCTGATCAATTTCATCGGCGTTCTCCCACACAGAATCACCATAGAAACTAGAAATGATAACGCCTCTCTCTTCTTCATCCCATACTTTCAACTGTCAGCAAAGGCCAAACTCTTAACACTACATTTCCAAAGTATAAAATATCCTTTTTTGCATTGTTTTTATTTGAAAGTGCTGATAAATTTACAATCAGTTGAGTAGATATACAATATACAGTCCAATGAGGTTATAGAGATCAGTTATGGAAAATTGTCAGTCCGAATTATGATGTACCTCATATAAAACTTTTAAAATTTTATTTTCTGTTCGTGTTAGGTACTTTACAGGAAACAAGATTATAACACAACATTCTGAACGATGAGACAGTATTTCATACTCACCTGCCATACAAACACCTCCACATCTCGGCACTACCTTACTCACTCCCCACACAGCTGTGAGTCACCCTGACCGTGGCCAGCAATGTCACCCATTTCACCTGGGGGACCTCGCACAGGCATCCACCCAGGAGTGCAACTACAATCCAAGACCAGCTCCTAGGACAGTGATGGCGAACCTTTTGAGCTCGGCGTGTCAGCATTTTGAAAAACCCTAACTCAACTCTGGTGCCGTGTCACATATAGAAATTTTTTGATATTTGCAACCATAGTAAAACAAAGACTTATATTTTTGATATTTATTTTATATATTTAAATGCCATTTAACAAAGAAAAATCAACCAAAAAAAATGAGTTCACCTCTGACACGCATGTCATAGGTTCGCCATCACTGTCCTAGTACAAAGCTTTATTTTTTTAATCCTCACTTGAGGAAATGCTTATTGATTTTTAGAGAGAGAGAAAGAGAGAGCTAGAGAGAGAAACATCAATCAGTCGCCTCCCGTAGGTGCCCCAAGCAGGGATCGAGCCCGTAAACTAGGTATGTGCCCTGACCTGGAATCGAACCCACAACCTTTTGATGCATGGGATGACGCTACAACCAACTAAGTGACCCATGTCCTAGAGTCCAGTACAAAGCTGTTCAGTTCTGCTGTGCCCTGGGGACACGTGTTAAGCGAGCTATTACATGTTCACAGGAAGCAATGGCACGGCTTCTCTTTCTGCGTCAAGGAGAGTTCCGGTCAGCCACGCCTTTGCTGCTGTCAGCTCGCCTCCCCTGCACTCCTGCCCACTGCAGCCCAGCCAGCCCTCGTCTCCTGGCCTGGATCATCACCGCATCTCCCTCCCTGGTCTTCCTGCTCTGCTCTCTAGTCTGATTATCTGTCTTCTGTTCTCACAACCAAACTAGCTTTTCTCATCCTCAGGAGACTCTGTCCCCTCTCTGTGCTGGAGTCCCTGTTCCCCGGAAGCCCCCCTTGCTCCACCTAGGGTGGGCACATCAACAGCCCCTCGGTGTGCACCACCCTGCCCACCTCAGCACCCGAGGTACACGGCACTGAACACCATTGTGAAATGTGTCCTCTGAGGCTGTGCCAGGCCTCCAGCTGGAAGCTGAGGGGCTTAACATGCCAGGTGAGTCCTCGGAAGTTCACATCCCCAGCATCTCAAAAAGGAAGGGCAACGTGTGGTGAGCTAAGATCCGTAAACAATACACGTAATGCAGGAATCTGGACTAGTTCCTGGCCCAAAGAAAAGATCATAGTAGGCATTCTAGGACCCCTGGGGGAATCTGACACAGGCAGGACATGGGAGCTCACTCTCTAAGGTGCGGAAGGGCGGTGTGGTTACGGAGGAAAGTGCCCTGATTCTGAGGAGAGGCAGGCTGGAGCATTACGGTTTAAACGCTGTGTGGTCCTCCACTTCCCTTCAACGTTAGGCGCTACATCTAAGTGGACGGTGCACAGAGGTTTCCTTTGTCTTCTCTCAACTCTTCAGTACATTTAAAAACGTTCTAATAAAGTTTAGAAGTAAAATAAATCCGGCCCCTGGCTCCCCACTGCACAGAAGAGGCAGTCCCTCCCTGACTGCCCTGGTCTCCTCATCTGACACCATCCTCCTTCCACGCTGAGCACCACAGCCACTGAATTGCTTCCGGGGCCTGAAGTGCAGGTTTGCATGCACCTTGCTCTCTACCTGAAGGTTCTTTCATAGCGCGTGTGCTTGGCTGAGTCCTTCTCACCCTTAAAGGTTTGGCTCAAATACCACCTCCTTCAGGAAGCCCTCCCTGATATTTCTAGGAAATACTTCCTCCTCTGCTCTCATCCTTACTTCATTCTATCAGGCTCTTCAACTGCTGTACCTACTGTTTAAATGTCTCTCTCCCCACTGACCCTGGGGCCCCCGAAGTGCGGAATGTGTGTTACCATCGCCTTGTACCTGCTATGCTCAGCATAAACCTGGTTCCTAACGGCCCGGAGCAGTATTTACTGAGGAAATGTCACATTGGAAAGAATACACAGAATTTTGTTAAGATTTCTGCGTAAACTGGTACCTTCGAAGTCCTGCAGAATGTGGCCTTCCTTGAAGGGCAGGGTCTGCTTCTGCTGCTGGTCCAGCATGCTGTGGACTGTGATGAAGGCGTCGTCGAGCGCCAGGACATAGGGGAAGCAGACAGCCGCCCCGATCACGTTCTCCGACCAGTGCACAGGAGCCCGCTGAGAAATCCCAGCAACGGTGGCAAACATGCCTGGAAAAACAGGGATTAGGAGGCCTTAAATAACTAGTTATTTTCCTGCGTCTGGATGCAGAATATCTCTCACTTTCCTTATATCTCAGATAGGAAAGATAACATAATTTGCTGCATGTGTGAAGAACTCTACGTGACTTCATTTCCATGAGAACTAGCTTCCCAGAGTGTATATCTTATATTTACTTCCAACTAAAAATGAAGGTAAACTGGGGGATTAAAAATGGTGGTGGAGTAAGTGGATGCTGCATGGACACACTCCCAGGACCTAACTGGAATTACAACTAAAACACAGAACAACTTCTTGAATAATCAACTAAACACTCGCTGGAGAGGATCCTGATAAATGAGGACCGAAAGTGAAGACCGCATAGAGACTGGTAGGAGGGGCGGAGGCGCAAAAGATTTAGCCGGCTGCCACAGACACCAGCTGAGGTTCCAGAGGCATATCTCAGCTCCGGGGGGTTCCCATTGAGAACGCTGGGGTCTAAACCCCAAGCAGAAAGCACCAGAATTGAGAAATGTGACCACAGAACATCTGGCTGTGAAAAGCAGCAGGGTTGCTGTCTGCCAGGAAGAGACAGCTAGAAATGCAGGCACCCTCTTAAAGGGCCAACACACAAAATTCCCTGTGCAGCCACCCACCTTGTGCTCCAGCAGAGGGAGGACACAGTGAACTGGAGCTGTGTGAGCAGAAGTCAGGATTGGGGGCTCTGGAGTTATACCTCAAAAGGTAGACATCCCAGTTTCCAGTTCTGAGTCATTCCCTCATGCTGCGGAGGTCGCAAATTCCCTATTTGCTATACAGGCGGCTTTGCCTGGGTGGAAGACAGTTGACAGACCCTATTGGAAAGCACCTTGCTCCACAGTGTGGAGTTACTGAGGCCCATTAAGAGACTGAGAATTAGAATTAGCATCCAAGCAGAAGCAATTGCCCCACCTTGTTGGGATAAACTCTCGCCATACCTGTAGATGATTGCCTGAGGGCTAGTCAAGACTAAATCCAATCAGTGTGCAAGAGAGGCAGTCTTGATAGCATCGGTTCTCAACCTGTGGGTTGCGACCCCTTTGGGGGTCAAACGACCCTTTCACAGGGGTCGCCTAAGACCATCGGAAAACATATATAATTACATATTGTTTTTGTGATTAATCACTATGCTTTAATTATGTTCAATTTGTAACAATGAAAATACATCCTGCATATCAGATATTTACATTACGATTCATAACAGTAGCAAAATTACAGTTATGAAGTAGCAACAAAAATAATTTTATGGTTGGGGGTCACCACAAAATGAGGAACTGTATTAAAGGGTCGAGGCATTAGGAAGGTTGAGAACCACTGCCTTCGAGTTTACCAGACACTTTATATCGAAGCTGGTCCTTTTGCCATCAGAGCAAAGATTTACTGCAGGTTGTCCTACACTAGAGATTGAGGGGTATAGCAGATCTACCTAACATAAAGTCACAAACCCAAACAGGCAACCAAAATGAGGAGACAAAGTAACAACCCCCAAATAAAAGAAGAAGAGAATTCTCCAGAAGAGAAAAATAAAATGGAGATAAGAACTTTATCTGATATAGAGTCAGAAAAATGATGGTAAAGATGCTCAACAGCAAGAGAAAAGATATAGTAACTATGAAACCAGAAATAAAGCATGACATAGCACAAATAAAGAACACATTGGAAGGAATACACAGCAGATTAGGAGTGGCTGAGGATCAGATCAGTGAATTAGAAGACAGGGTAGAAAAATCACTCAATCAGAACCAAGAAGAAAAAACAATTAAAAAACAGGAAGACAGCTTAAGGGAGCCAACATGAAATGTACAATATTCACATAATAGGTGAGCCAGAAGGGGAAGAAAGAGAGCAAGAGAAAGAGAACATGTTTGAAGAAATAATAGCAGAAAACTTCCCTAACCTGGTGAAGGTCATACAAGTTCAGGAGGCATAGAGAGTCCCAACCAAGAAGAACCCAAATAGGCCCACACCCAGACACATCATAATTAAAATGCCAAAAACTATAAGACAAAGAGAGAATCTGAAAGGCAGCAAGAGAAAAGCAAACTGTTACTTACAAAGAAGCTCCCATAAGGCTGACACTTGATATCTCAATAGAAATTCTATAGGCCAGAACAGAATGGCATGAAGTACTCAAGGTAATGAAAAGCAAGGATCTGAAACCAAGATAACTATATCCAGCAAGGCTATCATTCAAAATAGATAGTCAAATAAAGAGCTTCCCAGACAAAAAAATAAAAAAAAATTAAAAAGAATGAAAAAAAATAAAAAAGGCTAAAGGAATTCATTATCACCACCCAGCATTGCAAGAAATGCTAAAGGAACTGCTGTAATGAGAAGAAGAGAGAAACCTAACCATACAGCATTAAAATGGCAATCAATAAGTACTTATCAATAATAACCTTAAAGATAAATGGGTTAAATGTTCCAATCAAAAGGCATAGGGTAGCTGGATGGATAAAAAAACAAGACCCAACTATATGTTGTCAACAAGAGACCCAGCACAGAAAAAAAGATTCACACAGGATGAGAGTGAAGGGATGGAAAACCAGTTAACTGCCACAATATTTTGAATTTAAATAAAATGGTTTGCCACTTGTGTCTATAGACACTTATGGCGTACAAATGGTTAAGGGAGAGACTGACAAAAATACAGTCATAGTAGCGACTTTAACACCCCCCTGACTCCACTGAATAGATCTTCCAGACCAAAACTTAACAAGAAAACAGTGACTCTGAATTGCACACTGGATCAGAATGAATTTAATTGACATTTATGGAACATTTCACCCCAAAGCTACAGAATATAAATTCTTCTCAAGTGCACGTGGGTCATTCAAAAAGACAGGCCACATATCAGGACACGAAACAAGCCTCTAAGTTCAAGAAGATTGAAATCATATCAAGCATCTTCTCAGATCACAGTGGAATGAAATTAGAAATCAACTACAGTAAAAACACCCCAAAACATTCAAACACATGGACACTAAATAGCATGTTATTAAACAATGAATGGTTTACCAATGAGATCAAGAAAGAAATAAAAAACTTCCTGGAAACCAATAAAAACGAACACACAAGAACCCCAAATCTGGGATACAGCAAAAGCAGTCCTGAGAGGGAAGTTCATAGCACTACAGGCCCACCTCAAAAAATAAGAAAACTCTACAATAAACTATTTAACCTTACGGCTTAAAGAACTAGAAAGAGAACAACAAGAAAAGCCCAGAGTAAATAGAAGAATGGAAATAGTAAAGACTAGAGCAAAAATAAATGACATAGAGACTAAAAAGATCACTACCGCCCTAGCTGATTTGGCTCAATGGATAGAGCGTCAGCCTGCGGACTGAGGGGTCCCAGGTTTGATTCCGGCCAAGGGCACATGCCTGGGTTGCGGGCTCGATCCCCAGTGGGGGGTGTGCAGGAGGCAGCCAATCAATGATTCTCTCTCATCATTGATGTTTCTATCTCTCTCTCCCTCTCCCTTCCTCTCTAAAAATCAATAAAATATATATTTTTTAAAAAATCACTACCAAAAAATTCAATGAAACCAAGAGCTTGTTCTTCGAGAGGATAAACAAGATTGATAAAGTGTTAGTCAGACTCATCAAGAAACAAAGAAAGAGGACCCAAATAAATAAAATCAGAAACGAAAGTGGAGAATTAACCACTGACACCAAAGAAATACAAAGGATTATAAGAAAATATTATAAACAACTATATGCCAACAAGCTGCACAATGTGGATGAAATTTACAAATTCCTAGAAAAATACAATCTCCCAAAACTGAATCAGGAGGAATCAGAAAACCTGAATAGATCAATTACAACTGAGGGAATAAAAGCAGTAATCAAAAAACTCCCCACCAAACAAAAGCCCAGGTCCAGACAGCTTCACAGGGGAGTTTGACCAAACATTCAAAGGAGAACTAACACCTACACTCCTCAAACTATTCCAAAAAAGTCCAAGAGGGAGGAACACTTCCAAACTCTTTTTATGAGGCCAGCATTATCCTAATTCCAGAACCAGATAAAGACACTACAAAGAAAGAGAATTATAGGCCAATATCCCTGATGAATATAGATGCTAAAATCCTCAACAAAATATTAGCAAATCGGATCCAGCAATATATTAAAAAGATCATACACCATGACCAAGTGGGATTTATTCCAGGGATGCAAGGCTGGTACAATATTTGCAAATCAATAGACATGATACATCACATAAACAAACTGAAAGACAAAAATCACATGATCATATCAATAGACACATAAAAAGCATTTGAAAAATTCCAACACCCATTTTTAATCAACACTCTCAGCAAAGTGGAATAGAGGGAGCATATCTCAAAATGATAAAGGCCATATATGACAAACATACAGCCGACATCATACTCATGGGAAAATACTAAAAGCATTTCCCCTAAGAACAGGAACAAGACAGGAATGCCCACTTTCACCACTCCTGTTCAACATAGTATTGGAAGTGCTAATCATAGCGATCAGACAAGAAGAGAAATAAAAGGCATCCAAATTGGAAAAGAAGAAGTAAATCTGTCATTATTCACAGATGGCATGACATTGAACATAGAAAACCCTAAAGACTCCATCAAAAAACTACCAGATTTAATAAATGAATTAAGCAACATAGCATGATACAAAATTAACACCCATAAATCTATGGCATTTTTATACACCAATAATGAACTCACAGAGAAACTAAAAAGACAATCCCATTTACCGTTGTAACAAAAAAATTAAGATACCTAGGAATAAACTTAACCAAGGAGGTAATAGACCTGTACTCGGAAAACTACAGGACGTTAAAAAAAGAGATAGAGGAAGACATAAACAAGTGGAAGAATATAACGTCTTCATGGATTGGTAGAATCAACATCATTAAAATGTCCATACTACCCAAGGCAATCTACAGATTCAATGCAATCCCTAGAATTACAACAAAAACTCCAAAAATT